TTCCTGGTACATTGGAAAAACTGGTGCAATAGATAGGTGTTCTGCCTATTCGTGGGAAGAGGGGTTCAGCTGTGCTTCAAAGGGCTATTTTTCTCTTGCTGTGTGATGGGTACATTTCCTTTAGACTACTGAGGACTGTGTGGAACAGACATTGCACTTAGGCCCTGCATTGCAAATGGTACAAAGCAGGTCTGATGGGACTGGAAACGTGAACTGCCTTGTCTTGTTGTAGGACACAGGAGAGCTACTGTGCCTCTGGAAATAGAAAGACCCCATCACTTGCTTTTTTTTCTTTTTTTCTTTCCCTTTCCAAGTCTGGTAGAATTGTTCTTGCTCATTTCCCTTTGCTGCTCAGCTATCAAGAGTTTGAGCTTCTGGTACTAGAGCTGAATATGAGGCAGCTGCTAGTAACTGGACACAGCTACTCTGAGAGCTGCCTGCAGTAGGATTTTAAAGTGTCTCACTAAAGCGTGAAAATGTGAATTTTTATCATTGTATATATATCAGGATTGAAAATATTTAAAAGTGTATTCTTCTCTATGAGAAGGTTTGTTATGAATACAAGGTATATAGAAATGATTGCCAGCCTTCTCTTCCCACAGTATTTCCTGCTGATAAGGCATTCTTAGCTTAGATTTGTTGTTCATGCTAGATTCACAGCTGATGAGATAATTCTTGAGCTGAGGATACATAAGCACTTTCTGAGTGAAATGGGAATATATGCCTTTCTAAGAGAGAAAAAGAAAACACATCTTTCCAGTTAAGAATATTAGTTTTCAGTATATGTATATACTAAAAAAATCCGATTTTATTTATGTTCTGAGAATGTTTTTCTGTGTAACACATGCACGCCTCTCTGAGTACTTTGGCCCACTGTCTGCACACCTTAGGCAGACACTTAACATTGCCCATCAGAGTGGTCCCTCTGCTGCCCAGGGAGACTCCTTACATGTAAAGGTGAGGACATATAGAAGTGCTTTCAATATCAGGGCCTGAAACTTTCAACTCCTGGTTAATAGTCTTAATATTCACTTTAGTTAAAGCATCACTGATGTAATAAAGTTATTGTTTCGTAACATTTATCATTTTACTTTGAATAGTAAATAGAATTTTATGACTGTGTAATCTGATACTCCATCAAATAAACGTATGAAACCATGGAAGCAGAATCTTCATTTAAAGTATAGATTATATAGACCTATATTGCAGTCTTAAACACCTTGAAGAGCATTTGTTGCTTGAGTTTTGATGACAAACACATCACCAAAACCAGCTGTTAACCACTGACAAAAAGGAGTTCTGTATTTTATGTTGTAAGGGTTAGATCTTGTTCCAGAAATACTGTGTATCAGAATAATTCTGTACAGATATTTGGGGGATGTTTTGTCAAATACAAAGCATGTTATGCTGCTTAAAGTGTTTTCATGTGAATGCTACATTGTAATGAAAATCTTGAGCCTTATGTTGATATGTTTAAGCAGTTGTACCGACCAAAGCAACTTTGGGGATCACAATTAAATGGAAATGTTCTGCTTGATCTCAGATGTCTACATGAGTCTGCCATTCAGTGCCAACTCCTTGCCTTAACAAGCCTCCCATCTTGGAATGCTTTGCACTCAGCTACTGCCAAAACATACTTTGTCCTGCAAGTTTCCAAAACACCACAGCCTGATCACCATCAGCAAGAAGCAGCTGTCTTCAAAACTATCCCCAAGAGCACTGACATAGAGCCACAAAAATTCTCTATTTGAACAAAGACATTTTCCTTTTACAGGGGAGAAGTTGAGCTTGTTTGCCTTCATACATATAGAAAGTGAGGTTAAATCTCTACACAAGTATTTGCAGCAGCAGCCACTTTACACCAGTTAAGCTGGAGAATAGTATTACCCAAGCTCCTACTGCAGCTACAGATTTGATACAGATCTACAGATAAAAGATCTGCCTGAATTCCTTGCAATTAAACCACCTCACTATGGTCGGTTGCTTACTAGTGGCCAACAAATAGAACAGACTCACCATACTTCCCAAGGCAGGAAATAGCACCTGGCAGAGCAGGAAGGTGGGACTGCCACTGGCAGATAACACCACATGTACCAATATGGGACCACGCCTTTGCAGCTGGCCCACAGCAGCACACCAATATTATTGGTACTTTATGCAATGACAGTTGAATATCTGCAGTGTGTAAGTATTTAAATAAGGAAGGGCTCACTATTTTAAAAATTATTTCATTAATATGCTTTTATTACTCCTTGTCATCATTACTGATGAGAACTACACGTGGTCTGCAAGAGCTTTAAGCAAGAATAGACCATCTTAAGTGGCTTCCTCTAGCCAACAGGATAGGCCTGAAGTCCTCCTGCCCCCAGCATTCACAATGTGTCAGTAGTGGACTAGACTCACTATCAACATGAACTCCCTCAGAAGTGAACTCCTGATTCCCAAACAACCCACAAAGTCTTCTGAGCAATACTGGAATTGCCTGCCACAGCTCCATGGCAGCGCACAAAGGCAAAATCGGAGCACTTATGTTGTCTAGTTGCAAACACAGATGAGTGTTCAGGAGCAGATGGGCAGAAGGACTGGGCAAGTGCCTTTTTTTAGGGTGACAGTAGTGATATCTCGTTCACCTGCCCCACAGTCCCACTCAGGTTTAGCACCTTCCTCCAATGCTGACCACAGACACAATACTGAACTACATTACTCGGCCTCCCTGAGCTTAACAGGGCTACAAGTTTGAAGAGTCTAATTTGCCACATGGAGGTTAAAAGGTTATTTTCTTGCTAGGTATTATGAGTAGTTTCCATATATACAAAAAGGTTTCCTTTCTTACACATCAATATCTCCCCTGTATTACCAAACCCCAGAGGTCCATATCCCCTCAGAACAGCCTTTCACATCACCATCCACATTCCCCAGTCCTCCGTGTTCACAGAAAATGTACTGATTCAAAAATTTCTCATACCAAACTTGTATCTCTCAAACTCCATCCACCCTGCTAGTGCTGTGACTGGCAGTCCCCCTCCCTCACTTCCAGCAGTCTGTCCTGCCCACACATCCCAGATCACTGCTTTGCTGAGCCCTTTCCAGGGACACTGCCAGACTTCCAGCCCTGCAACCACACCCAAGCCCCAGCCCTAAGTCCATGTAAGACCCTGTCCTGTGGCAGGATCCACAGGCTTGCACGATCCACCCACCACAGGCAGGATGAGAGCCACTATCTGTACCAGACAGTGGTTTCTTTGAAGATCTGTAGATTAGTTTGAATCTCCGATCCGTGGTAAGTTAGCCTTATGAACGGTTAAGGGTTCAGAGGGCTTGGGCTGTTTTAAATCAGGCTCACACATTCCTGCTGTCGGGAACACCCATGCTGCCTGACCTGAACTGGCGCTACAGGCCCAGTGCCAATGCACTAACAGGGTCAGTGTAATCTGCTGGCTTCAAATGGCACAGCCAACATCCTAAGTCAGGAAGCTTTTGAGGTTTTTAATTCTGCTGCCAGACACAACAGCAAACCTGGTCACTTAAGGCAGATTTACTATTAGAGCTACCAAATACCACCAGGCCTTTGCGCTCCAGGCCCTCTTCCAGGCCTGCCAGACTTACAGACCTAGAAACTCAGTGAATCTCCTGCTTTGTGAAACCAAAGGCAGCTCGATCCCCTCATCTAATCATTCCCTTTGATCATTTATCCTTTACAACCCTTACAGCTCCTAGCCTTGTGGCTCCTAGGAAATCAGCCCTGAAAGCCAGGCAGCACACCTGGCAGGATTCAGCAGTCACCGGTGTCCATCAGCCCCTGCTGCTCCAGAACCAGCCCCTCTGGAAAAACCACAGCCCAGGGACTCCAGCAGATCTGGGAACACCATGTAACTTGACAGTGACCGACAGTAACACATAGCTCCTGCAACCTGCCAACAAACCAAGCCCACATGCTTCTGCTTTCCTGTGCCCCAGCCCTAACTACAGTTATTATAGTTTTATAGCAATTCAGTGAACTCAAAATAAATTAAAGATAGCATCTCAATGCTAGTATTTTACCTCCTTTCCCTTGGTTTTAGGATTGGGAAGGAACTTACCTTGTGTGGGCAAGCAAGTTTCCAGGGCTACCTCTCTGATCTTGATGTCTAAACCCTGAGTAAACTGTTCCATTTGCTTTTTATCCCTCTCCATAACTACTTTTAAAACCCAGTATCTTATGGTATTATCAAGTAGGTGTCACTGTTGTGTCATCTGATCATTATTCCCTTTTTACCCTCTAGTATTGTCAGAAAGGATTTATTTCTTTCTCAGCACATTTAAGGATTTTAAAGATATTTATCTCCATCTATGAGAGTGGAAGTCACATGCCTGGTTTCAGCATTTTAGCTTAACTGCCAGTCAGTCACCTTGAGCTTCCTTTGTAGTCAAGGGAAATAATTAGGCACCTTGGGAGGCTGATTCAACTCATTCTGATACTTATCTAACACAAGGCATATGAGTGGCCCTGTGAGGCTGTGTATTTCTTTCCACTGGATACAAAGGGACTCAAAGGGAAAAAATATATCTGAATGTTTAACTGTAGTTTTCTAAATCAAGCAAAAATGAATCCATCTAACCCAGTGTTGCTCTTGAGCTTTCCTCTTGAAAGCAACAGTTGAGCATTTTAGTATGTGATTCATATGGAAGGCAAACACATGAAAGCTGCTGCAGTCACTGCCACTAATGATGACAATAAAAATAGTTTTCTAATGTCAAAGAGGGAGTGTATTTCACTAATATCCTGTTTTGGGTAACATCTCCTTTTGCTCCATCTCATGTGGATATCCCTGAAAGATTTAAAAGCTCTGAGCACCACCTTTTTGTTAAATATTTTTCCCTGAGATTTCTTCTTTTCTTTTTTACTAAAACAAATTAACATGTTCACCAGAGACAAAAGCCAATTATTAAATGAGGAACATTCCAGAATGGGAAATAATACTTATTTTTGTTATAACCCAAAGAATAAACAGGCATCACTAAGCAGCAAAGTCAGTATTTTATTCAAACTGCAGACTGATCCAGAAAATTACACACATGCAAAACATGGCATTCCGTACAAAAACAATGTTGAAATCATCAATATTTTAACTTCTCTCCAGTTTGAAAAGAGTGTCCCAGGAACTGCTCTACAAAACACTACAGTTCGGACAATACAGAGAATTCATAACCTAATCTAATCAGAAGGAAAACACAGTATATGAGATGGAAACCACCACCCCTCGAGCCTGGCACAGCCTGATGGTGCAGATGTACACCCCTCCAGCATTCTGGCCCTGCAGTGCTGAAGTCAATAGGAACTTTGTGAATCATTTCAGTGGAAACAGATTCTGTGATAACCCAGGCCTCTGAGAGAAGGGCAGCAGTCCTTTCTGTATGAGTAAAGACAGAACACTGACGCAAGTACAAAGTGCAAAGAAAGATGAGGTGGATACAGCCAAGCTCCTTCAGAATGAAAACACACGCTAGAGCATCTCACACATCTCCTTTTCCAGCCAGAGATCTCTTCTTTGAAGAAATCTGTCCAAATCCCTCTCACGTTAACTCTTCCCACGGCTGACTAGATTGTATTAAGTTGATAGGAGAAAGACTGAGAAATCCTTCAACTCTAATAATTTAAACTATCAAATCATATCTTAATCAAGTGCCTATCCATTAAGCATTTAAAATCGTTCTGAACTTCATGAAGAAATAAAAATGCAGCATGATGATGTTTTACATTTCTCAATATATTTATGCCACTCTAGTTCTAATTATTTTGAATACTCAGAAGATAGTAAAAGGTGTGATTTTGTGTGAATGTGTGCTCATGCAAGCACAGATCTAAAAATTCACAAATACAAAAAACATTTAGGGAGAATATTGCAAAAATTAATTAAAACTTGAGTACAACAGGGCAATTAAGTCTTTTTAAAAAACTGTACGTACCCTCTTAAAAAAAGATACTCTGATATCAGATAAACAGAAAGTATGATTTGAGATAGTTTTTCTGCAATGCATTTTCCACTGCAAAACCACTATACTTCTCAAGCAACATTATTTTCTTTTAAAATGCACTATTTTGAAATTAGAAATCAAACTTGAAAAGTGCAAAGATGACTGATGTCAGAAGTTTCACTTGTCTACACAACTATCTATTATCATACAAAATTTTATCAAAATCAAGTAAAAATTACGTGTTCCCAAAATGAATTGTTCAGGAATTCCTCAGCTGACCATTTTTTCCAGTACTGTTAGGATGTGATCATCTCTACCATGTCTCCCAGACAGTTAAATGAGAACAGTCTCAGCACAGAGCACATCAAAGAAACAGCCTGATTGCATGTCTGAACTGCCTGTGTGAGGAACCAATGCCACCTTCCCCCCAAAAAAAAAAAAAAATCAACATTAAAAAAATTTCCTAGGGTATGCCTCATCACCCAACACTGCATCCAAAATCCAAAAAGGATAAAAAGGAAGACTCCAGCAACGCTGTCCTGGAAAACTGGTTTTTTCCCTAAGAGCATACTGTTAATGGCAGGTCATAAGAATTAGGAAAAGCAAATTGACTGCCTTTATCAGATTAGCCTCATTAGGAAAGAAAAGCCCCAAATACAATACAATTCAGCCATATTTCCTACTCCCACCATACTACTTTTGGTGATGTCTGTAGCACAGCACACAAGATAAGGAAAAACCAGTTTCAGTCACAGTGTTCTTTCTTCCAGTGAAACATTCAGCTGTAACTAAGCATTCAGGGCTTTGGTTGGTAAAGCATTTCCTTTAATCTAATCAGAAGTGTTTAACCCACTCACTGAGGAAAACAACATAAAGGCTTCTACTTGATTTGGGTACAAATCAGATCTGTCACACACAGACATAAGAAATAATTACCCATCCCTGCTTCATAGGAAACTTTCTCATAGAACAAGTAACCTTAATGAAAACAAAGACTGCCAATAACAGAAAACAGTTCACACTTTTACTGGAAGAAAAATAATGCTAATTAATAGTGATTGAAATAATTTTTAAATGCCCCTTTTTCTTTTTGTGATGCTTTTGGCTGGTATAGAGTTAATTTTCTTCAGAGTTGCAAGTAGGGGGCTAGGTTTTGATTTTGTGCTGGCAAATATTGGTAACACACAGTTGTTTTTATTACTGCTGAGCAGCGCTTGCACAGGGTCAAGACCTTTTTCTGCTCCTCATCCCACCCCACTAGTGAGAAGACTGGGGGTGCACAAGAAGCCGGGAGAAGACAAGCCAGAACAGGTGACCCCAACTGACAACAGGGATATTCAATCTCACAGCACAACACACAGAACTGGGGAAAGAAGGAGGTAGGGGAAGGGAGGACATTCTGAGTGTCTTCCCAAGTCACACGTGATGTAGCCTTGCTTTCCTGGGGATGCCTGAACACCTGCCTGCCCATGGGAACTGGTGGGTGAATCCCTTGTTTTGCTTTGCTTGCATGTGCAGCTTTTGCTTTCCCTATTAGGCTGTCTCCATCTCAGCCCACAAGTTCTTTCACTTTTACTCTTCCAATTCTCCCCCCCATTCCACCAGGAAGCATTCAGCTGTTTGGGGCTGAGTTGCCAGCTGGGGATAAACCACAGCACTTTTACAGTTTCAATAAAACTTTCCTAATTACTGGGAAAATGTACACACTAACTTGAAAAATTATGAAATACACAAAGATGAAGCAGCTGTTAGAATGCAGTTAAGCATTTCAACATAGAATTTTTAGAATCAACACTTGGCTTTCTTTTTGACAAAAACGAATGGAACTACAACCCAGATCATTGCTTTATTAATTAAGGAAAGAAAACTTAAATTCTTTAACTTTTGTAGGCTATCCTACCATTTAACAGAAAAAGAACAAGCACAAAGCAAGCAAAATACAATAAATAACAGCAGTTCTTAAAACTATGAGTACGACAACTCATGAGGCTGCCCTACCGGGCCCTGATGAAAAGGGTTTCATCAGGAGTTGCAGGACAATTGTCCTGCTCAGTAACAGTCTCTACTGTGCCTGAAGCAGACACAATCACCATCGTTTTAGCTGCTGAAAGAGCTTTCTCCTTCTCTGCAATGGCAGCACAGACTGCCACAATTTCATCACTTTCAAAGTCATAGTCTGGGATTGACTCTTGTTCGAGCTCTTTTGCCAGTGCTTGCGCTGACTCAGTCTTTGTGGCCTTCTGCTGTTCCTGTAGTTTTCTTGCCCAGGAAAGGTCTTCTTTCCATACTTCAGGGTTCATTGGAAAGATGTGTAAGGATACCTGGAAGCTTCGGATTGCCTATAATCAGAACAAGGAAGAAACAAAGATGGGACACTTTAAATTCTACCTTTTTCATAAAAATTGACAACAACAAAAAAATTACATATATCATTTGAGCAAAGCCAAAAGCCATTTTACTCCCGTCTTTATTGGAGGAATCCCCCCTCATCTTGGTTCAATAGCAGCCTGACCCCCAAACAACTGTGTCTGAAAGGACAAAAATGCATGAATAAACTAGGTACCTGCAACAAGGGCACAACAGAGAGTTCATATATTAGAAACAATGTTGTTATTAAGAAAGCAAAAGGAAAAACAATTTTTTGATGGTTTCCTATTCCACTTTTCTCTCATCATCAGATGTACAAAAAGGCAAAAGCAGACAGATACAGTTTAAAGAAATACAGAAAAGGGATGACTGGAATTTGAAGTACCACTGGTATTGCTGCTTTTAAATTAGAATACAGTCGTCTCACATACAGGTATCACACTACACTAAAACCAGCCAAATGGTAAAGAGTTTCTGTAATAGGTATGTGGTTATAAAACCACATAAATAAATGAACAGGAGTCAAATGAACCCCAAACTTCAATAGTTGCTCTAAGAGAGAACGTCTATAATCCTATAAATAACATAATACTAGTAGAAGTAAGTGTAGTTAGTGATGCTTCTCCTTTCTTTCAGTTCAGCTGGGAAAATACTCACAAATACAAATCCTCAACAGAGAAGCTGTGAAATTAAAAACAAAGAAATGTGACAATCTAAAATAAGAGGTTGCTACAATACTAGAAAAAAGCTACACCAAGAATTACAACTGTATTGTCTTTTGGTTACCTTAACCTCAAACTTAGGTACATGTACACAAAGCAGGTGTGTATTTCACATTTATGACTGTGAAGTCAGTTATGAAAATGGGTCACCTTAGTGACCAAACTCTTTTATGACATGTACAGAAGCCTTCCTGTAAGATTGGAAAACTGTGATGATATGGATTGGGATGATATTTGGGAAGAGTTCAGGCAACTTGAATATTAAAACTTTAAAGATATATGGTAAACCACAGTATACTTACTCTGTTGTAGTTTATAAATACTTAAAGCATGCCAATAATTTGGAAAATCACAGTTTTTCTTCTGCACTGACAGAAAATTATAACTCATCCTTCTGATGGCACAGATGAATATATGGACTCCATATGATGGGAACTCAGAAGAAAGAAATACAAAATCAGATTTAAGAAATGCTGCCCATACTATCAGTATTACCGCTGTTGTAAGAGGCAGCCTTTCAATTCCAGAGAGAAAAAAAAAGCTTGGTTATTGGTCCACAGCCAGCTCTGAAGTGCAGGAGCATGCTGAACTTTAAACAGAAGAAGAACTGAAGTTTAGTTCTTGTAAAACTGTCACTCTATTCAACTTTGCTAGTTTTTAATTTTCAGGGATACAAGAACAACAAGTAAACACTAAATGCTCATTTTTGTATTTCTGTTGAAAAGAAAATACAAACAAACACCATCTGCTTTTAAGCTTTCCATGAAAGAGGTCCCCTAATTAAAACCTGTCTATACAGTTATGTTCATGCACAATAAATAACATTTGGGAAGCGTCAAAGCTGCTTTGATGATTCATACAATACAACATAAAAAGATCTTAGTGAATCTACTAGAAAAGAGTTTTTGTGCTTGACATGTTTATAAAGAAATAACAAAATATTAAGTAAATTTTAAGTGCTGCAAAAGATCAGAGGGATTTACTTTAAAGCAGCGATGTAAAACTGAAAAATACATACTTGCCATCCATTTGAAATTTTATGTTGCCACTGGAATAGTGTCCAAAGCCTCTAATTTCTATTATGACAAAAGAAAAGAACAGTGGTACTTTTAATTCTTCCTAATTCTTCCCCTAATGGAGATCTCCTTTTCCAATTTCCTGTCGCATTGTAGGAAAACCCAGTGACACTATATAAAATCAATATTTCTAGCTTCATTTTCAAGAGCAGCTGTGATTTTAGAGATCCTTCATATAAGGACTACAGGACTTTTTATCAGTACAGTCATGTATCTGCTTTTGCTTCTGTAAGGAAGTGCAATGTAAAACCTTCTGCAAGACATTCTTCCTTGTGGAATGACAGTATTTGAAAAATCTGTACTTTTGAAGTATCTTACATTTTGTCTCACTAAATAGTACTCTGTAGCAAACAATCTTCCATTTGTCCCATGGGTACAGTCTCCTCTGCTGGTTTGCATAGCCTTTAAGTGTAAAGGGCAATTTTGATCAGACTGCACTTTTTTTAAAGACATGGACTTAGTAACTGTCACTATATATAAAGCCCCCAAAAAGCCAGAATTCTAAGAGGTTGTGTCTGCCACCAAAGTATGTGGTAGACCTTTATGTTACACTAGGCAGACACTTTCTGGCCTGTTTCAAAGGACGTCTATCGGTGAAGTAAGTAATCTTTCTCTGTGCTAAATGATCTTTACTATGGGAATTTTTTTGTTTGTGCGTTTTTACAGCACTCAGCATAGCCCTTGGGGGTGCTGATGAATGAAAAGCTGCACATGCCCCGGCCATGGCACTGCCAGCCCAGAGAGCCAAACGTGTCCTGGGCTACATCCAGAGCCCCGTGGGCAGCAGGGCAGGGAGGGGATTCTGCCCCTCTGCTCTGCCCTGCTGAGACCCACCTGGAGCACTGCATCCAGAGCTGGGCTCCCAGCACAGCAGGGACAGGGACCTGCTGTGTTGAGGCCAAAGAAGGGAACAAAGAGAATCAAGGGGCTGGAGCACAACTCCTATGAGGACACTTTGGGAGCATTTGGGATGTTGGGCCTGGGGAGAGAAGGGTTCAGTGATACCTTACAGCAGCCTCCCAGTACCTGTAAGGACCCATAAAAGACCTGGAGAAGAACTTTGACAAGGACATGCAGTGATAGTATAGGGGATAATAACTTTAAACTGAAAAGGGGAAGATTCAGGCTAGATGTAAGGACGACACTGTTCACAGTGATTTACTGAGATGCTGCAACAGGTTGCCCAAAGAGATGGTTAATGCCCCTTCCCTGGAAACATTTAAGGCCAGGCTGGACAGGGCTCTGAGCAACCTGGTCTAGCTGAAGATGTCTTGGCTGATTGCAGGAGGTTGGACTAAAGGACTTTTACAGATCCCTTCCAAACCAAAGCTTTCTATGATTCTATGACAATATATTACTGGAATTTGAGTCTTATTTTTGTACTACTCACCATGAACATAAATAACTAATTTTTACAGAAGCATTTATCACATATCACAGTAACATAGAAAATAGGGGAATAAGACATTTTAGTATATTTAAAGACTCCTCATGATATTTCTCTCCTTCAAACAAGGAAAAAAGTTCCATCCTTTCAGGTATTTTCACTCTAGTTTAATAGTTTCTATGGTATAATATGAATGCAGATTTTTTTTTTTTTTTTTTTTACTTTAAACTGACATCTTCAACTTTTCTGTGTAACTTTCTGTTCAGATTATTTCTGCTTTTCAATAAAAAAAATTCTCCCTGAAAATTTCATCAAAAGTAATTCTGGTGTCTTAAAAAATGAGGTGAGCACAATATTTGCACTTCTTACATTTCCAAAACCATTTTATTCAAAAGTTCTGGAAGTCTCATATTCTGGAGAAAGTACTTGAAATATAGTAATTTTCCAGATGTGAAAGACTATTTTTGCCTTATGCTTACTGGGATTTGGTTAGATTCCAAATGCATAAGAGTCTTTGTTTCCATCTGGTAGATGTGTGTGAGACATTCTCATTTTCACATCTTCCTTCTTCTCTTTTTGAAGAAGTTTGCATCCTCCTTATCCCACTCCTGTACTTTCTTTTGCTCTGGTGACAGATTTCACAGACGTCATTTTGCACCACGTGATTTCCTCACAGCCCTCTTTCCTCACATTTATCACCCTTCTGTCCTTACACCTTACCCCTGCAAGGCTGCTGCATGCTCTGCTGAAGTCACTGCTTCAGGCTGCCTCTACCACACAGACCTCTCACGCTGTGCTCCACCAGACACAAGGATATGATCCAGGAGGACCAAGGACACAGCAACCACAAAAATCAATCCCATCCTAGAAACTGACAGCCTAAGAAAACAAAGCTTAAGTGTTACTAGTACTTCCATCTTGCAAATCAGGAAAATCCAAGAACACATTTACTTCTTTATTACAAAATTATACTGACAAATTTATTACAGGAATTTTAAAACAATGGTCAAATAAACTTTGTTCAACATTCCTGTTTGTCTTATTCTGTGCATTTGATTTAGCTAAAGCTTTCAATTACAAGGTCTCAATGTTGAGAAATGCACTCCTTGAAAGTTCTGAGGATCTGACAAAGGTAGGTGCCAGCTAAATCAGCCACAATCACTTAAAAAAACTGAATATCCCTGGCAGACAGGTAGTTGAAAAGGGCATTTCAACTTTTGGAGACTTGCTTGCCCTTCAACTTTCTTGATGGAAAATAAAAATCATCTTTGACTAAAAGATCTTTTTGTGCATTAACAATCATTATCACAAAATATATTTACAATTTCCAACAGTGGTTAAAAAAGGAAAAAGGGTTACTCTATAGTAGATGGAGAGGGCAGGATTAACACAAGACCTTCCTGGGGAAGCTTATATTACTGATTATTACCTCAATAACTCAGTAGGACTGTTTAAAGCTGTTGAAAATAATTTAACATAATTTAAATGAAAAAGCATGGTACTTTCTCTCTTACTAACTTCCTAAATACTTTTGACTTTCCAGTGGAAGGCCAACCACCAATTTCCTTTTTATTACCGAAATACTCTATATGTTTCTAAACGCTAACATTTGTAACATGTTGAAAAATTATCTCAAATTCAGATTAGTTATGTTAATTAGCTGCATTCCAATAAAACACAGACATTTCTCTCTTTAGGAGTATAAAACTGCCATCATTATCTAAAAGACCAAAAACTATTTCAGTCCAAACAAGAGAGATGAAAGGAAAGGGCTGATCTGAGAATTCATATTGTCAAGGCATGACTCTTTTGACAAAATGTTGTGTCATACTTAAAGACTGCTAAAGCACTAACTACTGGGGAGGAAACCACATCCTTCAAAACATCGAACAAAACCCATGCACAACTGCTGCATATTTACACCTCTGCCCTCTCAACTTTGTGATCCTCAGTACTCCAGGTTTGCCAGGGACCCACAATGGCATAAAGCTGAAGTCACAGAACATAGGATGGCTGAGGGTGGCCAGGACCATCTGAGGTCACCTGGGCCAAGCCCCAGCTCAAGCAGCGCCACCTGAGCTGGCAGCCCATGACCATGTCACAGGGCTGAGGAATTTCTCCATGGTGGGAGACTCAGTTCTTTCATTGAGTCCTTGATTTTCTTGTGATTAGTTTTGGTTTTTCTTTTTAATATTGCTTTTGTTTGGTTTTTGGGTTTTTTTGTTTTTTTTTTTTTTTTCCCCTTGATTAATCAAAGCACAGGGTTCACCCTGTCTCACAGGAGGAAGTGTTGTAATGAAGCCATTAGTGCAAAATTGTTAACTAGTTAAGATGCTATCAGCAGTGCAGGAAATTTAATTTGTAAAACCAAGTATTTGCAATGAAATGAGAGAAATATTGCAAGCCTGACTACATTTCTACAGTTACTACATTCACATTGCAAGTTTACTCAGGTGTGCTCTGCACATTGATTTGTAGAATTTAAGGAATTTCTGCCTTACAGAAATAAAGTTTTCCTTGCTCACATTTAAGTATTGCTGTTTAATTACCCTATTTAGTAAATTCAGGGAAAAAACGAGCAAACAACTTTCATAAAAGCTGAATTAAAAGGGACTAATTTAGTTAATTCTTTTTGTCACAAGTTTGACAAAAACTAAATCCAAGCAAATATTTCTTTTTTTTTATTATTACACAGCTCATCATATACATTACATTTGTTTGGAAGAAGCATTTTAGTCCTGGGAAGCTTCAAATTAAAATACAGTAAATTGTTTTTTTCCCTAAGAAAAAAATGCATCATTCATTGTGAAGTAATAAAAGTATTCACAACAGACCATTTGGCAGGATGTGGGTAATGAAGACAGATGTTGGTGGGGGAGAAATGAAACAAAGAAGCAGAAGAAGCAATTCTTGAGAAGGATAGTAATTCCCAAATCTCAAAAAAAAAATTACTAAAAAAGCCGTGATATTTATGCTTTATTAACTGTTCTTTGTAAAAAATATGATACAGGGAAAAAATAGAAAATCATGGCAATTAAAGACTAATGGAAAAAGGATAATTATGATTTAAACCACTTGTTCTAGAAGACTCCAGAAGTTCAGTAACTATGAACTTATTTTTTATTTTAAAATTCCTTCAGTCTTAGCCTCTTAAGATTCCCTAAAAATTGCATGGTTCAAAAACAAACAGTGAACATTATTTGCATTTTAGAAGAACTCCCCAACTTCTCTGTATGTGAAAACATATTTAGCAGAAGGCAATTCAACCTACAGACAGAAAGGCAATGAAGTATGAACACGCAGTACCACAGCACTGGGGACACCAACAGGAGCTTCCACACCTCAGGGTCCCTGCTCAGAGACAATCAAAAACTAAGAGGGCAAACTACCTGTGATAACCTCCCTCCCTCCCTCTTCATCACAGTAAGGTCAATTTAACAATTACAGGAGCACCTAGAGCAGTGTTTCAGATGAATGAAGTGCTTTGATGCAAATTTCTGATTGTTCCCACTTAAAATGCTTTGCTTTGCATCACTGAATAGTCTCAGATACATAAATTAGATTCCTTTCTGATTAAGCTTAACAATGCACTCTAAGAGAGCACCTGAAGTCCTACTCTAAAGACAAAATTAATATAATATGAACACTAGGTCCCCAGCACTCAAGATATCCAGTCCCACTGGTGATTCACAACTTGTCTACGTAGAAAAATCTTACAGGATCTGATGAATCAGTCTGCTGGATATAACTAGTACAGGTATATTACTATTTATGACCAATATTAAAGCAACTGTACTGTTTTTACAGAATAAACAGCATCAGTTACTTAGGATCCTTGAAGGAAATAAAACTCTAATTTTCCTTAGACTAGTGCATTTAAAATTGTCAGGTACAATTTACAGTGACAGTTTCATACACTTAAAAAGAAAAGATCCAGACAGACCAGACCATCAACCCTAACCTTCTATACCACAAAAACCATGGAATGTCACCACTGCTGAAATGCAGATATACATGGATTTATACGAGATGTTTCATATTATGGTACTGCACAAACAAAGGGTGCACACTGCACACCTGTAACACACAGGTTTAGTCTTAGGTTTTGTCTAACAGGACTGGAGCAGCTCCCCAGTGAGGATGTGCTGAGAAAGTCGAGGTTGTTCAGCCTGGAGAAGGTTGTGTGGAGATCTCATGGCAACCTGCCCGTATCTGAAAGGGGAATACAGGGCAGCTGGAGAGAGGACTCTTCATCAGGCATGGTAGTGACAAGGAGTTATAGGAAAAAACTGAAATGGGAGAAATTTAGATATTAGGAAGATATTCTTTACTGTGAAGGTGCTCACAATCTGGAAGGGGCTGCCAAGAGAAGCTGTGGATGCCCCATCTCTGGGAATGCTCAAAGCCAGGCTGGATGGGGTGGAATTAGATGACATTTAAGGTTCCCTCCAAGTCAAATCATTCTGTGATTCTAGGTGATTCACATAGTTTGCATTTGTTTTGGCTGGTTTGGGTTTCTTACTACACTTTAAAAATTTGTCTTGTATGAATTGTTAACATCCATCAAAAAAAAACCTATCATTTCTTCAATTCTTGAAAATTTTCAGACTAAACATTGTAACTTTGCAAAACCACTCTAAATTACAAACAAAATTATTTGTATCAATATAGCACACAGCAACTTCTATTCAAAATACAACCAGTATCTTTTTCATCTAAAAGCTCACAATGCAATGTTTTTCTAATGGACCTCTGGGAACGTGTCTGAATTTGCAAGTTCACCTGCTGTGTTTTCACAGAAACTAGCAAAAAGCTATTATAACTCAGAAAAGAAAAGATGCACTTCAGCTACTGCAGAGCATCCCTGGCTTTTTGCTCTCTTATTAAATGAAGAAGCAACCTCAGCCACCATTTGAAGTCAGGGAATCAGAGGAAAGCAAGAATGTGCACATGTTATTTGCTGCATAAGCAGGACACAAGGAAAACAAGACACTAGAATTTTATCAGCAGGCATGTGTAAAAACTGAGCCCGGAAACTGATCCTTGGACTTCACATTGCCTTTGTCTTTAAACTATGGTGAGCTGCACTGCAGCAGTACAACACACAGAATGTAGTATGTGCAGTTATGTCAGCATAATTGTTCTATTGCATAAAGCCACCACATAAATATAGTATATGACACAAAACTCTTCGAGCTAGACTGGTCTTCCACAAGTCCAGCAACAAAACCACACAGGAAGCATTTGTGAAACACAATAAAGCAGAAGGAACACTGGAGATAAATAATAATGGTCTTTTTCCTTGTCTATGTTTAAGTTACCATAAGGATATATAGCAACCTTGGTATTTCTGTACTTTCCTTCTCACACACAATTAATTCTCTTATCCTACCAGTGCTATCTCTCCTAATCCAAGCTGGGCACGTCCCAAAGTCTGCCAGGCATCCCAGGAACGTGGGTTTCTCTGGACAGCCATTTCTGCTGCATGCACTGCTGGGAACATTTCATGTAAAGACATCAGGACCTGTATCAGAAATAGAAAAAGAAGAAGAAAAATAAGCAAAACTGAAAATAAATTTAAGTTTTCTGGGATTACCCAGGCAACAACCACTGTTTCAATAACTAAGATTCATCTTACCTAGCTTTTTTTAGTTAAAAGTTACTTTTATGACCTCAGATAGTCACCCAGACTCATTTCAATCCCCACAGAGAGAAACAGGCATGCTAGAGGACAATTCACCCAAACTATTTAAGCAATGGTATTACAAGTAGATTAACTGCTTCTCAAGGTGTCTCTCCTTGTCAACAAACCCTACAGCCTATAGAAGCACAACAGAATAGTCACAAGGACAAACACATGGAGAGCTAAGCATAATAAACGTGCAAAAAAACCTCCTGGGCTGTATTTATTTTTTTTTTAATAGAGATCTACCAGAAACAGTGCAGTGCACATGATATAATTATAGAAACAATCCCTGTAACTATGCATGGAAACAGACCTTAACAATGACTGTTGTATTTAGAGAACAAGCATTCTGCAGAGCCTAACTTAGACATGAAGTCACCTACATTAAGTAAGGAAAAAAGTGGTTTCTGAATGTGAAAATCTCTATTACTCAACAGTTACCACAGGATTATTCTCCTTACATTGAATCTCCATAACTAAGGCAATAAATCACAGCTAGCAATACACAATGTGGCTCAAAGCTTGCCTTATGTTTCCAATACCACCATGAGATTGGCACATCACCTGAAGACCTGCATCACTCTGAGATCATTATTTCAGACACCCACATGCTATGGTGATAGATACCAGTGTAAGAAACAAATGACAACTACATTCCTGCAGTGTGATGAGGATGTCAACCACAAGGGTTAGACTCATGTGTGGGCAACCACTTTCATCCCAACTGACCACAACTATGATGAATAATATTAGAACATGCTAGGACTATTGCTGAAGTTCAAAACAGATTTATTTAACCTTACTGTTCTATGATAAATTAAGTAGATAAGTATGAGTGTGGAGTAAAGGAAGATTCAAATGTGATGATCTTAAGTATTTACTCTAATTAACAAACAGTACATGCACAGCATAGAGGTGAGCAGTACACTACACAAAAGAAGAAGAGGAAAAGGGGAAGGCAAAGATTTACTACAGAAAACAACCCTGGACTGAAAAAAACAAGAAACATCATAAGCACAGCTTCTGAATAACCCCTTGGATTGATACTTCTACTGTTCTAGTATGGCTAAACTTTTCTAAAGACTAGTCTTATGGCTTCACTTTATTTCCATTCAATGGACTGTACCTTAGAATTTAGAAGTGCCTAAAAAATCTTTAGAAAAACAATCTACAGTAGTATATCATCTTCCCTGTTTTTCCTGCTCAACAGTTCTCAATGACTGCATTTTGTATCAAAGTCTATGATGAATGTTATATGTTTTTCCAAAACTTTTAGATGAATTACATTTGTATGGGCAGTTTCCCCTGTCTGCAGCAGATGTGTGAAGTGAATCAAACTATTACTAGTGGATAGGTGCACATCCTACCAAGATGAAGGGATTCTGCATCTATCAGCTATCTTCTACACCAGTGTCTTAAAGTATTTATTCTCATAAGAGAAAACAAATCCAAGTATATATTCACAGGAACATTTTTATTCATCCCAAGTACTCCATATTTCCTACCAGTACTTTCTACTGCAAACTAATTACAAAACATCTGTGTAAGTGCTTAGGAAATCTTTTGTACTGCCTAATGAATTTTACTTGTTTGTTTACTGAATTATTACTTTACTAATAAAGGCAGTTATTCCACTTTCATCTATTTATGACTATTGTGTGCACCAGCATAAACAGTTGCTTTAAAAATGCTCTTCCGGATCATGTAGTAATTACTTTGCTCCTAATAACTTTGGCATTAGATTCTCAAAGTACATTCAAACAAACACACATTTGAAAGTATATGCATTTTTATCCAACACAGGTAGTTTTTAAAATTATTAATAAAATGACTCAGCTACACTTGTCAGTCAGTATAATGAATATACTTATTAATGCACACTATCTTCCTACACTTTTTTATTCAGGTGAAGAGGTCATCAAAATGAATCTACAATGGCAGACATGAATGTGTGCAGCCTTGTCTTGGGTATATACCTGTATATCATTATCACTTCAATAAAAGATCTCTGTATGCTACTTGGAAACTGAACCAGCAAACCAGCTACTCCACACCCAAAAACCACATTGAACAAGGAATAAAAAACACTGCCAGCACAAAGATTTCCTGTGCACAGATTTGACAAGTGGTGCTCAGTCCTTCTGGGGTACAGACACATGGGCAAGACAAAGCCAAACAGGAACCACATCTGCTGTAGCCCTCCTTGTCACACAGCGTGCCTGTCACATGCTCAATGTGCAGCCACGTCAAGTATGTCAGCATACAGATACACACACACACACACATTCATAATATATATATATATAGTGTACATATGAAGTGATGTGTGTATCTGTAGCAATATATATGTATAGTGATAGTACTCTATTAGAAAACATAATTAAAACTAATCCAAAAATTAGGAAAAAAATTATGAAGCAGAAAAAATATCTCAAGACTCTCCCTGCGCACGCACACACACACGTGTATGTGTCAAAAGTGACTGGAGGGAAATGTCTTATAAAGATATTCAGTAAGTGGATTTTCAGAACTTGCTTCACTCAAATTTATCCTTATTACATGCTTTAAAACAAAAACATCCACGTTTTATAATAACTTACTTTAACAGATTTTAAATAAATTCATACAAGAGAGATTAGAAGAATTAGAACTCCTCTGTGGAAAAAAACCAATTAAACATAGCAACTCTCATCAGAAGACTGACCAAGTATTAGAAACCCAGGCAGCAGAGTGACCCATCATGTTCTGCCCACAATATTTTGGAAGTTTTATGAATCTGAGTAAGTTCTGGTTTTAAATGAGCTCAGTAGGTTGAGGCTGAATCACTATATATAGATACATTCCACATCCAGTGAAAATGACCCAATTCATTTTTCCATCCAGTAACCCATTTCAAAATACAGATTAATAAAATTCATCCTTCCCACAAATAGTTTACATTTACCCATGCTCTAAAGCACTTACCATTGCACCATACAGAAATGCTTTATTGCAATTTAGATTTCTGGAGTTCACACTAATTTTTTGACAGTTCACTCTTCTCTGTACACAGCCCAATTTAAGAAAAACAAATTTTAAATAATCAGCATTTACTAGCAGACTTGATATAATCTAAACTTGGGGTTCTAAGTCTGGTCATGTCTTAGAAACCTTGTAATTTCTTAAGCAGGAAGAGAGATAGAAGTTGATATTATTTCTTCACTGAGTTCAACATTAAGAAAGCCTTTAAAAGCGGGGAAATTGAATGATTTGAAGATTATGGGTTTCATACATAAAAACAAAGAAGTGACATATATCTGAAAGCCTGGTCCAGTTCAATGAATGCAAATTGAGGATGCAGCACTGAAGGCAAAAAGATTCTCATACAGCTGATGACAAAACATCAAAAAAATTACAAAGAGGAACTTAACCTGATGGCTTACATTTGAATTTACTCGTTTCTAAAAATACATATAAAAAACCTGTATAGTTTACTTTAAAAATTCTGTCATAATTGCATAGTTATCTGAGATGTGAGGTGCAAGTGTCATGAGATAAGCAGCATGAACCAGGTGAATTCTCAGTAGCACGGAATAGCAGCAAGTCTGGCTCCCAAGACTGTCATATAACATCACAATGTATCAAGTCCTTTGATATCCCCCTTTATCCAAAAATGTCCCACACGGTCCAGTCACCAAACATGAAGATAAAAAATCAGAGAGTATGTCAAAGTTTGCGCCTCCACCTTTGTAATTCAAAGCAGTAACAAAATAATCCAGTCAATATTTAAGAAATTCAGCCCACAATTAATTTCAAGCAGTCTCAGTGGCTGCATTAATATAGGCAGTATTTATATATTCCTTTGACTATACTTACAATATTACTTATATTAGGCTTCTGTTCTTGGGTCTTTTTTAAAGATTTTTGTTTTTCAACAAAAATGCAGAAATGAACGTGCATAAACATTTACTTTCCAGTCATTGTTCTTGTAATGGGGAAGCAGCTTAGGCTGGTGATGAAGTATCAAGTACGTATACTGACAGATCTTGCACGCAAAGAAAACTGGACCCTTAACCTCTCAAAAACCATAAAAATCTGCTTTTAAATGGATCAAAGAGTAGCTGAGAACAACAGAAAAAAAATCTCATCAAAGTCTATGTTTTTTTGAAGCAACTGAGCAATTCCACAGTTCCCACGTAATTTTCTGAAAATACACTTAGTTCAAATAACTTTGACAACTAGGAACTTTAAACGCTATTTCTGCTCTTCCGAAGTACTGAAAGACATTTGTCCTAATCTGTTAAAATACAGATCTTCAAGAACTTACCACAAACATTTACAGATTCGTACAGTGCTATTACCATATTTATCTGAGCTGCATATTAAACAATACAGCATTGAAAATGTTACATTTGCTGTTGAGAAAGAAAATACTAAAAAATGGAGAAGCTACTTTGTAACCCAACGTAAGGTTATCCTAATAAATGTAAGGGTATAAGACAGATACTCAAGCCTGTGCAAAAAAACCCCACTTCATCCTGCAATGTTAATTCTCCAACAGGTTTTCTTCATGAATAGACATTTTTCTCACTGATAGAAAATAAATACAGTCCATAAAAAATCCTTGCATACTGCACAAAGCCATTCCTAACACAAATCTCCTCCTCTAGTATGTGACACATATATCAAGACGGGAATTTTTATAGGCCCAGTGCTGGTCAAGGCCTTTCTGAAGCTGCCATACAGTTCCAAAATATTTTCACTGAATACACTGTAATAGCTACAGTATTTGTGCTGGTATGCTGGACTGGAATAACACAGTCAGCTCTAAGATGGTATCTTTTAAATACTGGCCACAACATTTTTTGAATGAATTATGTATTTTTACTTTGGCAAAAGTGGATTTCTACAGCTCACATCACTGCTTTTAGAAGTACAAAGCTATCAAATTACACATTCTAGTAAACAGCTTCCAGTAAGCATAAGTCATACGACAAAAAAAATCTGTAATAATTATTTGCATGTATGAAAGGGACATTACCAATTGAAACATTACATGTTTTATTAAAAAGATTCAAGAAATAGTTTTATACATGTATATTTCGTACACAAGCTTTTCTTGTGCTTTCATTCACAGTGTAACAAGTGTTACGCAATACAAGAAAGTGAAATCAAAAAGAACTGGTGCAACTGCAGAGAACTGCTCTCTTTTTCCAGAAAGAAAGCAAAGGCATGATAGAAGAGAGGCTCGGGCTTCTTCAGCATTTTTTTCAGTTTCTTCAGCTTTCATTATTGTCCACTTGTGTCATTAGACAAGAACAGATAATTCACAAGATGAATGAGAGTAACACAGCTGTTTCTCAGTTCCTCTTGGTCAGCAGAAAAGCTGTGTGTCTCTAACTCACCTTTGCCATTTTTTTGAAATACAGGGACTGGGGAGCCAAGAAACCAACAAGCCCTCAGTATTATAATCTGGAGCACAGATTGAAGCACACTGCAGTAAGCACCTCTTTGGATAATTCACTGCATCATAGCTCCGATGCAGGTAAGCTTACACACTTCACAGTTCTCCTGCTATTTTCAGTGAGAAAATACTTCCTTTTGGTGTAATTTCAATTGAACAGAATGCTTTTGGGGACCTATGTGAAATTCTTGCATTCACGTAAGACCATAGTAAAAACAGTTATAAGGGAGCTGTTAACTAATTTGTCTGGCTGAGCAGAACTGTCCTGAAATTTTTAACAGCTTTCTGTTTTATTCAAAGCAGAGTTAAATCTTTATGACAATAAAATTTACCAATACCATCTTCACATCTTAGCAGACATGAAGACCTTCTTCACTAGTGAAGTTAAAAATTAAACTTATAAAGGAATTGCTGTTTAAGTTAACATCCTTTACAGCAATCTGGAGTGCTGCTAATTAAAGCAGAATTGCATTATCCTGTTTTCCAATAATGCATACTCAGGATTTGAAATTCCTTAATACATAGCTCTGCAGATAGTAGAAATTTACAAGGGAACAGAAAGCATTGAAACAAATTTGTTGAAGAAAATCTTTCAAGCACTTCTAAATACAGAGAAGTCCCAGGCCAAAGCTTGTTGGAGCCTGGGGAAAGGATCAAGAGAGTAGTATTGCTACCTGCTCGTGCCAGTTGTGTAACTCTTTTCCAGCCATTCCACTAGGCTAGACAGATCTTTCACTTACACTAACACTTTTGGAAAGACAACAACAGACTTCTCCCAAAACAATTTAAAGAAAAATCTTCAAGCCTTATAAGAATGTCTCAAACCAAAGGCATAACCTGGTAAGATCTAAACCTTCTGCAGCTAAATAAAACAAAAGCATCCTTCAGTATTCATTGTCCTGAAATGAAGTCACGATTAGTCTAGTAATTCTTTTGCAGAATGAAACTTTCTTCAACAGACAAGATGACTGTGAGGAGCAAAGGTGGTAATATCCATTAGAAAAAGCAGCCACCACACCCTGGAAAAGCACCAGCATTGGTTCTTGGGGTTTGTTGGGGTTTGGGTTTTTTTGGCTTCTTTTTTGGGGAAATAGGGGTGTTAGGGTCTTGACTGGGGTTTCTACACAATAAAAGAATTAGAGTAACACAAAGATTTAAAAACTAAACAGTATAGCAAACTTCCTAGAAGTTACATAATATATTCACCAATTTTTTTTTTTCTCTTTTCCTCTCTTCCTCAAACCATTTAGTTTTTCAAGATCACTTGCTGAAACTCAATAGGCACAGCTTATAGGGCCTGCTGAGATGCTTCCTAGAATCTGGAGGGTTCCTATGGGAGTCACAAGAAAGCAGAAGTGGGACTTTTTACAAGGGCAGGTAGTGATAGGACAAGGGGGAACAGCTTCCAACTGAAAGAGGGCAGGTTTAGAGGAGATATTATGAAGTCTTTTACATGACTGATTTAGCTACGTAACACTTAATACAAAACCAGATTGAAGCAAACCATTTGCACACAGTACCCATGTTTAATATTGACAGTAGATAGTATTAAGCCCAATCTTTAGAAAGAGCAAGCAGATTTTTAGTGGTCAGATTTGCTAATGTATCACACTAAGGCTCTCCCTGATCGCACCAGTATCACTTTTTTCTCTGCAATGTAGCATCCCAATTCCAACCCAACAAAGGTGTTTACTGTGACTGGCTGGGATAACAGCATTATTCCAATCTCTGTTAAAAGACACACTGTTAGTTAGTAAAAATGAAATACCTAAATCGTGTTGCAGTTCCTGTACACAACAACTAAAAATGTTGCCCAGTACCTGTTCACAAGCACAATGTTTTATTTTCCAATTTCTAAACTGGCAAAGAATTGTCATGCTTTACCTGTGATTTCATCTCATAAAGTGTAGCATCCTCTGGAGTTAACTGAAGTGCTTCATCCCACTTGACAAGAGCCTCTCTGTACCTGTATTTAAAACAATATTACAATGTCAACATATTTAAAGGGACTGGATATTTCTTTTTATAACCTGACATTGTCCTAAAGAAAGTGCCATGGCATATGATTACTATTAATTATTTTTCTAATTACTTGCCCATAAGAGCTGTTTTCAGGAACTGGATATTTTTGTTCTGATCCAATGGACACTAAGTATTAGTACAGAACTGACCTCAAGTGAATTTACAAGGCAACATTGGAAAGCTGAGGCAAAGCTTAATGACTTAAAACTACAAATTTTGAACTGAGTCCAATTTCCCTCACTGTCAAAATCATCTTTAGCCAGGCATAAAAAAAAATATATTCTGAACTCAACATGCCATGATATAGTCATAATTTAAAACTTCTTTTCATTCTAAAAAGCCTACATTTCTGTACTGTAAGATAATGTAAGACTCTAAAGACATATAAACAACTTTGGAATACAACTATAAGGAAATGGAAAGTAAACAGCTGTACTAAAATCACTGTCTGGGAAAGCATACACCATGTTGCCCTTTCCTAGGAGAATGAACACAACAGAAGAGTTGACTAAAACCAGTAAAAAGTAGCTTTTTGTCTTGAACCAAGAGGTAAAACTTGAACCACAATGAAGAACTGTAAAAGAATAGTGTGATGCAATTACAGTCTTTCAGCAATAAAGGTGGCCTTTCATCAACATTAATGAGTCTGTGAAGTTATCATATGTTCTCTGAAACTTCAAAATCCACATTTGTTATAGAACTGTGTGGGAATGCCTGTATTTATATTAACTACACTGCAAAGGTATGAAAACAGTTACTCTTGGGAGATACACAGGCTTCAATTCTAATATAGTATAGGTAAAACTACAGCAATTTTCACATGCCCTTCATATGAAACAGTTTTTATCTTCTCCTACTCCCCATTGTTCCTTCCCTTTCCTTTTCCCAGTTTTCAGTCCTCTGGGTTGTATTACAGCTGCAGGTTTGCCAGAACAGTCACATAAAGACTTCAGAAACTTCTGAATCAACTCAGAATAGAAAAACAGACTGGAAAAGCAGTGCGACTGAAGTCAAGCTCTCACAATGATTCAGGTATTATTAGTTTGCAAATTACACTAGTAAGTGTGATGTTTGAGTGCTAAGCAAAGGATGTTTCAATAAATTTTTACATTTCCTCAAAGTTCAGGCACCAGCTGCACATTTTTCATCTCAGTTCATGCCCCATGGGCAGGTGTTCACCCTAAAGAAAATATCCTGACATTTTCTACATGCCTCAGTAGAAGCATTATGCTGCTCTTTACTTAGTGGGGACCACTTTTTGGACAAAAAGATTATAGTTTAGTTCAAGACCTAGCACAGATTTGCAAATAAAGTCTACATGAACAAGGGTCCTCAGCTCAGTTTGGTGGTGTCCTGGCCATGCAGAAGGTGTAATACTGTGAGTACAGCAAAAAAGTTTAGATTAAAAAGTTCTGGAGAACAGAGAAATTACAGTAATAACATCAGTAACCAGAGATGAAGGACCAGCACTGGCATTCTGCAAGTAAAAACACATAAGAGAAGAAGCTGCATTTCAGGAACCTTTCATTTTTACTTCTATGAAGGGAACAAAATTGCTCAAAGCACCAATCTGAATGTGATAAAACTCAAAGCAAGAACATGCTAACTCTGAAAGAAGATTCAAATATAAGCTAATATCCCCCAAATCCTGCTGGGTTTTGCTGCTGGTTTGCCAACAGTCTGCCAAGAGAATAAAGATGGACAAGGGAGTAAAAGTAGTACATTCACAGAAACACTAAGCTGTGTGCGTTCTGTGTGTGAACAGTAAATTATGTAACTCTGCCTGTGAGCCTCAGAAAGAGTGATCCAAGAGAAGGAACAACAGAATGCCAAAATTACTTCACAGACTAAGAACAAAACAGAAGAGGGCTGGTGAAGGAAAGGTTCCACCTACACAGGACTGCTGACTACCAGCCTACAGTCTGCAGGTACCCACAGGCCTGTGAAATTGTCTTCTTTTAGAAGGTCTGATAAAACATGTCTGTTCTATTCTTTTAAATACTCAGGAAAAAAATTTATTTCTCCAGGAGAAACTAAGGATACTGTCCTTACTAAGCAAAAATGCGCCACTGTTGCTTGCTCTAGAAATGAAAATTTAGGAAAAATTCTTTACAAAAAGGTAGTCCATTAGTCAAAGAATGTTCTACCTCATTCTTCTGAAGGAAAAGATTATATAAAACATTATATTAAATATCGACCACCATACTGAAAAAGATTCCTAGGGATATAAGATAACATTATAAAGTCAGTGTTCCAATAACTGCTTTATGAAAACCATAAACCTTGACTGAAAGAAGAACGGAGTTAACACAGGGGTAGTGTTGAAAAATAAATAATTTTAAAAATAGATCACTTTACTATTTCTCAGGATCTTTTTTGAGCTGAACTGTACAGCTTTACCACTACACTTTACCATTGTGAGGAGAAGTAGTTTTGAAAAGGAAAGCTTTGATATAAAATGACATCTCTTAGAACTTTTATATCTGTCATATAAGGGAAGGCTAAGAGAAACAGGACTGTGCAACCTGGAGAAGGGGAGGCTCAAAGGAATCTTACCATGGTGCAAAATTACCCAATTTGGAAGTGGGACAGGGAGTTTAGAAGGTGGAATCAGACTCTTGTCAGTCATGCCCAGTGACAGAACAAGAAGCAATACAAACTTAAGCACAGAAAATTCTGTTTAAGTATATCTCCCTCACGGGAGATACCCAAAACTCAACTCACAATGTCCTGAGCAACTCACTGTTGTTGACCCTGCTTCAAGCAGGAGGCAGAGTAGAAAAATATTGAGTTCACTAGGATTGCAGGACACTAAGATATCAGCAAAAACCAGTGATACATGATTTATGATATTATTATCTCTTGGCTAAATGAAAACCAATTTTAAGCAAAATATAAACCAACAATAAATAGATCCATTAATTTTTAGATCTCTGGCATGGCTATAAAAATTTATCTACTGTAGCAGTAAAGTCACAGAATACTAATAATGGACATAACCTGTTTTTAATAGGTTATGGAAACAGTATTTCCAGAAAAATTAAAACTTTTATGTGTATGTTCATTATAACTAAGCACCTAAACAGTAATACAAAGCATTTTTAAAGTAAGATTATAGTATTTTGAAATGTAGAATTCTAGTTATGTGAGTACACAGATATAGCATACTTATCTATCAACAGTGATTTCACCCAAGTAGTATACTTCACTACAAAAAATTATTATACAGTTACAATCAGAATTTAATTAGCATTTTCTCTTCTTTTTTGCAAAGCTGTAAAAATAAATAAATTATTGACAAGTGGGTACATCTGGAATGGCTTCAGGACAAAGAATTTTTAGACATTTTTTATTTAACAGCCTATGAAATCACATGGCTCCTCTAAAGTACTGAAACTGCTCTCTTCAGATGTGCTCCTGACCATCTGGGAGCTGCAGAAACTTCGCACCTTTTTTTACAGCTTGCCAAACTTTTGAAACAAACATCTCGTGCTTACACTTCACTTTTTCAACACCACTCCTGGGAAAACAGGATCTCTTGGACTCTTAATTAAGATCATTAAAACAAATTTTAAAAAATGTTTGAGGCTTCTCAGTAAAAAACCTAACATTCGGATTACAAAGAGATCATTTTTTGAATCACATACATAAAATGCTAAAAGCAGCACCACAGCTCATGCAGGATTTAGAGTTCTATATTTTTACTCTCAGACTTGCTACAGACTGATGCCTCAGGAACAGAGTGAGACAGGACATAATCAGAATGACATTGAAAATATCTGCAAATCTAGCAAAAAGAGACACACGTGCAGGAGAGAGGCAGAGTACAGGAGTACAGCGTCAGGAGAAGACATGAAGAAACGTAAATCCTGGGATTACTTTTAGACTTGGACGGATACTCCCACAATCAAATGTTACAGAATAACGAGGAAAAACACAGAAAAAGCTAAGAAAGGGACAGCGAATTTTAAAAAGAATATGCCTAATTGTCAAGGATTCCTGTCACAGAGGGGCAACATGAACGGTCTGTGGCCACCAGCAACAGGATCTAGAACAATTTTAACCTAGTGCAGGGTCAAATCCTGAATTTGTTGGAAACCAGAGGAAAAGAACACTAGTCGGTAATTATAAAGACCACATAAAAAGAGAAATTAAAATTAAAGCAGAAGTTGATTACAGGAATGAACTTCCCTTTTTAAGCTGGGAGATGATGCAGGCATAGACTCTGGGAGGAAAGATATAAACAACAGGTAAATGAGGACACTAAGAAGGAAAAAGAAGAATGAATGTAACACGGATTTTTTGTTTAACATGTTTTAACAACTTCAGACTTCTCTAACTCAGCCAGGTTTTCACAGTAAAGTACTTCCTCTGCTGGGGGTGAGGAGGGAGATGTACAGCACTTAGTAGAAGCATTTACAGAAGAACAGTTCATAAATAAGCGACAAGAAGTTGTTTGCTTAAGTACACACAGAAAATTGATGTCCACAGCACATACAGTCTGATAACAGTTGTAGGATTGGTACACCTTACTAACTTGCTTCATGTGTTTAAAACGCTCATCTGAATTTTTAGCAACTTCCCAATTTTTTGTCAGACAATTCTGACAACTATTGGTGAAACATAATCACTGCAGCACAAAAACATGACTATTTTGTGGTAAAGTGTCAAAGGTCACTTCTGATTATGTATGAAAAAAACAGCTGCTTTAATATCCACTAGACTTTTCAACAAAATGTCTTAATTTAACAGCCTCACTTAGGCGTGGCTACACAAGAGGTGCACGGCAATTCTTCAGTGGCCCCTGACCATACACGTGGGTCTTACCCCACAGTAAAGGAGGTATAAACAAACTCAGTGCAGCTACTCTTTGAGAAGACAAACTCTTCTGAATTGACAGTGGGGCAAAACAGCATGAACATACCTGAGGTACGTAACTTCAAA